GCTGTAGAGGGCTTTAGAGGTACTGTTGTAGGGAGGTTTGGGAGAGCAAGGGATGCAGTGGGCAAACTTGGACCACGCTCAGACTTTCAGACTGACCTGTCTCAAAGGTCTATTGTAATCTTTTATTATTCCTGCCCATGCAGGAGCCTGTGTTAATATTGAAGTTGTTACTTCTGCAGTAAAGAGACAAACAAACTGATGCCTCTGATCTTCTCAAAGTAATTTTTTTAAAAATACGCTTAAAATGTTAGTACTGTCAAAATGTTCTTTTTTAGAAGACTAGAGGCATCTACTGTATTTGCTTGTTTCAGGCAAACGTGATGATTTTGACATTAGTGCTAAAGCATTATTCCAGAGTTGTGGTAGGGATAGGAATGAAACCAGCAAATCAATAAAATAAATGAAGTGTACGCTCTTTGAAGCTTTGAACTGGCACAAGAGTACGTAAAAGCGAGACAATCTTTTTGCTTCCCCAACACAGGTTGAGTTTATACAAGAGCTACCCAAGACACCTGCTGGAAAAATCCAAAGAAGCATACTAAGGAAACTGGAATGGGCAGGAAAATAGCTTCAACTGAGTGTGACATCTGCTATTTTATGTTGGTTACATCCAATATGGCAGTGGTTCCCAGCCTTGGTTAACCCAGGTATTCTTGGACTACAACTCCCAGAAACTCCAGCCAACATAGGTGGTGGTGAAGGCTTCTGGGAACTGCAGTCCAGAAATGCCTGGGTTACCCAAGATTGGGAACCACCGCAATATGGGAATACGAACATAATACAGTGATGCCCCACATAGCGACGATAATCCGTTCAAGGAAAATTGTCGCTATCTGGAATCGTCGCTATACGGAACAAAAAACCCCATAGGAACACATTAAACCCTGTTTAATGCATTCCTATGGGGAAAAAACTCACCGCTATGCGGAAATCCTCCATCCGGCCGCCATTTTCGCTGCCCGGTAAGTGAGGAAAGGGTGCGAAACGCTGCGGGTGGCCATTTTTTCTGGCGGCCATTTTGGAACCAGCAATCAGCTGTTTTCTAAACATCGCAATGCGAAAATCGGTAAGCGTTTCGATTACCGATCATCGTAAGGTGATATTTAGCCATTAAAAACATCGCAATGCGATCGCTTTTGCCATTGCAAAATCCACATCGCTATGCGGCTTCGTCGTTAAACGGGGCGCTCGCTATGTGGGGCACCACTGTAGTTTAGAATTGTCACCACTAGATTCAGAATGGAGGTGATGACATTCAGCCTCTTCTAGGCCAAGAACAAGGAGAAGATGCCTTGAAATTTCAAAGAAGACATCAGGACAGTAGAAATTGTCGACATTCTCCTCCAGGTTTTCAACTCCTGAATTCCTGCACTATGTCTGCAAAGTGGAAGTATTTGGAATCATTCATTATTCCATTTCTTAAATTTCCAAATTTATAGTTTGCATAGTTTTCTACAGCTTACAGACCTTCCATTTGTGCATGTTTTTCTCTCTTTTGGATAGACCAAAGTCCATCTGAATACAACAACAGCAAGGTTCTTGTTGCGTGCTAATTTATGAGTTGTGAAGTCTTCATTAATAAAACACTGAAAGCCAATGATGGACAGCTGCAGCCCATGAAATGTTGGGTTGCAACTCCCAAAAGCCCGAGCTACAATCAAGAATGCTGGACTACAATGCCAAGAATCCCCAAGCAAGCTTGACCAGCAATTTCTCCAACTTTGTCAGAATCAGCAGTAAAAGAGAATGGGAACTGTAGTAGAATGCAATTATGGAGAGCCATAATTGACTGCCCTTTACACTAGTATAAATATGTAAGGGAGTCCACCCAATGCATGGATACCTTATATTTAGAAATGTGATTGAGCCTTTGTGTTGTCATCAAGTTATGGGTCAATTCAATGGACAACTCTTGCTTCTCAATCTTTTTTTTAAAAAATCTTTTTATAGGACTAAAGTGATTTTCTTCCGTCTTTTGAATCATGAATATCTTTTAAAGTGTTTAAATTGCTCTATTACTTGTGTTTTAAAATTTGTTATAAGCTACTCTTAGGGGAAAAGGTGGGATAATAAATAAACAAACAAACAAATACACTTGCAAATAGTCTGTTACCTTTTGGCCTTCCAACATGTGGCTGCTTCTAGCCCAGCTATTGTAAACCACTGATAAACACCAGCAGCACAGATCCAACCTGCCTTATCTATCAGTGGTCAGCTGTAGCAAAATATGATCCTCACCCTCAGGACTGATTGATGTACCACCCACCTGGTATCAAAGGCCACTCTGGAAGGTTTACGACAAAATGAGGACAGTAATCAACAACATTTAATTACAACAGAGTAAACATCAACATAATGGAAAGAATAAACATATACTAAACATTATATCATAAAAATACTGTTACCCCAAATTTAAGGAAACAGTTTTCTAAGTCCCCGGGGTCAAACTCCGGCAGCAGATGTTGGATGAGCCAGCTGAGATACAACTCAATTTTAGTCAAGAAGTAAGTTAGCTGGGGAATTCTCTTAAGGCAGAGAAGACCCCGAACACAAAACAGAAGATACATTTATACATTTCAAACAAAGAGTCATAACAACTTACAGTGATTGGTTAAAATCTGCTCAAAAATTGGATCCTTTCTCCCATTACTAGGAGCTGGACAGGAGACAGACTGTATTTGTCTTCAATGTGGAACAGATTGTCACTCTCGAATTGGCCTCCTCAGCCACACAAGACACTGTTCCAAGACCTCCATACAGAGCACGTTACCATAGTCTCTCGAGACTGAAGGATGCATCCTCAGGACAAAAAAAATGACAGTCACCATTTTTGTCACTTTCCCAGTCTTTGCATCCATCATTTATTTAAACCATTTTTGCTGCCATCACTTAACCAGTGCCTGCTTTGGAGATCCCGAAAGGCTGAGCAAAGATACGGAGGCAACTTGAGTTCCTGCAAACGAGGCACTCCAGAGCAGCAACATCCGACCCCTAACCTGGGTGTAGCAGAAAGCAAGGGATTTGCTGCCTGGGGTGCTTTGCTGACTGAGGGGAGACTGCCTTGGCAAGCCTTAATGGCAGGACCAATCCTGCCCTAAGCAGAAAACTGAGGGCGATGCGAGAGTATACACATCACTAGAGCACATCATTCATAGGAGAGCTCCCTGGAGAGGGAAAAGATGGAGCTTCCCACGGGTTCCACCTACCAGTCCTCCATTAGGTGGCTTCTGGTTCCTGATTGGTTGTTGGGAGGTAAAGATGGGCTTTATTTGCAAATCTTATCCCTGGGCAGAAGACCTTTGAAAGGCTGCGGGGTCTGGGAGGAAGATGGTGTCATAACAAGAGCTAATGCGTTTTTCTTGTGATCTGACCCTCAGAGGAGGCGGTGTCGCGGGATTTCGGGGAGCGCGGGTTCTCCCCCCCCCCCCCGTTTTCCGACTTCTGCTCCTCCTCTCCCGCCTACGATCCATAGTAAATGGAGTTTGCACCTCTGCTAGTTTGCAGAGGGAGGCACAGCTGGGGTGTGTCCAAAGTGCATTTCCCAAGGTCAGCATAGGAGTGCACCTGGTTTGTTGTTTTAACCCTCAAGCAAGCATTACCCCCCTCCCCTGCGCGATCCGGATCGGACCCCTGTGCGTGGATCAGGAGAGCCCCCCCTTCTCTGGCCCTCTTCTCTTTAATCCCCGCCGGGTCCCCTCGTCAGGCAGGAGCTAAAAATAAAAGCCAAGGGCTCGTTCCCCGGCTGCATTCCTGGCGGGGCGAGCGCGCTTGCTGGCGAGACCCCGGTTCACTTTCCCCGGAGTCCCCGTCGGCCGTCGGTCGCTTCGCAACTGGAAGTGGGAGGGCGTCTGGGCGCGCACCGCAACTCTTGAAAGTGCCAGTCCCGGGACGGGTCAGGCGGGGCCGAGCGGGGGGAGCGGCCGATGTGCCCCGGACAGGGGGGGGAGAAGAGTGAAAGCGGGGAAAGGGGGGGGGGAGGCCAGACAGTTGGACTCTTCCTAGGCGCTCGTTTCCCCCCACGCGCTCCGGCGCCCGCTGCCCAGCGCGGCGTTGCTTTCCAGGCGGAGGGAAGGTGAGTGGATTTTCTTGAACAATAACTTGGAAAAGTTTCCTCGTGTTTCGCATTGCTGGAAAGGGTAGCCATGTTGCAACAGCAGCCCTATGAATCCTCCTCTCTCTGGCAAAAAAGGCACCTTAAAGCCTGGGATTTCAATTTGTGGAGTTTTTTTTAGAGCAGCTTTCTGACATGAGAGCAGAAGAACATCTGGCTGGCGAGATGTTGGCTGTGGAACCAGAGGTTGGGTGCTTGATTCCCTCCTTGACAGGGGCTGGGTGCAATGATCCATAAGGTCCCTTCCTGCTCTTCAGTTTATGATTATTATCTGTATGGCCATAAAATTGGGGGACTGCATCCCGCTTGCATCTGAAGAAGTTGGTTTCAGGGCCATCGCTGTCCTGTTGACACGTCGTCAACAACGTATGGCAAACGAGCGGTCAAAATGTCCTAGCGTCGACTGCCCATTGTAGCTTATATCAAACGAAACCTGTGGGTCTTTAAGACACCCCTTGGCTGTTTCCTTGTTTGAGGTTATAATTTCCAAAAGGAATCGGCTGTGCTGGCTGGAAGATTGTTGGAGATGTAGTCAAACTTTTTCCAAGCTCTACTCATGATGTGCAGCCTAACTGTGTGGGTCCTGTTCTGTGCCTTCTGACTTCAGAAGCCCTGGATCAAGGACAGCAGCCATATGTCTCACAGCTTCTAAAAGAATCAAACAGAGTGTATTTAGATTGGCCTTATCTAGAAGACGTTGTTATCTGTGTCTCACTGTTTGCTTAAAGGTTAGTGCCTTCTGACTTCAGAAGCCCTGGATCAAGGACAGCAGCCATAAGTCTCACGGCTTCTAAAAGGATCAAACAGAGTGTATCTAGGTTGTCCTTATCTAGAAGACGTTTGTTATCTGTGTCTCATTGTTTGCTTAAAGGTTAGGAGGGTATGGTTCTGCATGTTGAATCAGAGGTAATCCCAGGTGAGCACAAATCAAATTCCATTGTGTCCTCTCCAAACACATCCAATTGAACTAACCTCCATCCATCTACCGTGAAAATCAATAATGACCTTAGCCCTATAAATGCAAACAAGTTTGAAATTGATCTGGAAAGGATTAGAGATTGAAAACGGAAAAGTCCTGAACAGAGTTGGAAGACAACTACACTGAAGAAGGTTAGGGTCCTCTCGACCGACTGCTCTGGGAACCAACCAATTATTCTGTGTTTTTGACATGGTAGGAGTTTTAATTCTAAGGTCTGGAGATGAAAACGGAAAAGTCCTGAACAGAGTTGGAAGACAGCTACACTGAAGAAGGTTAGGGTCCTCTTGACTGACTGCTCTGGGAACCAACCAATTACAGTGGTGCCCCGCATAACGAGCGCTTCGTTTAATGACGAGTGCATTAGACCACACTGGAGGCCTTGTCAAGTGGCTTGTGACCCATGGGCTGCACCGTTCTCATTGTCCTTCTGAGATACAGTGGTGCCTCGCAAGACGAACACCTTGCAGGACAAAAAAAATGCAGGACGAATGGTTTTTTTCAATCGCTATGGTGCCTCACAAGACGGCTTCTTCTATGGCCGTGCTTCGCAAGGTGTTTTTCCCCCCCGAGACCGATGCCTCGCAAGACGAACACCTCACAGGACAAAAAAATGCAGGACGAATGGGTTTTTCAATCGCTATGGTGCCTCACAAGACGGCTTCTTCTATGGCTGTGCTTTGCAAGGTGTTCCC